TTGTTGTCTTTCACACACACACTGATTTCCAGAACCTTCCGAGAGCTTCCAGGCCTCCAAGCATTTGACTTCATTGCAGGCTGAGGGCTAAGGCTGCAGCACCGGCCACGCAGCCTGGTGTCCAGCGGAGAAGTGGCAGATACTGGGCTCTGGGGAAGAGTCACCCCCGGCTGCCCGGGAAGCGGGCGGCAGCTGCAGCCCAGCCAGAGGTCAGGACGCGGCTGTCCTACGCAGGGGCAAGGAGGAGACGGGTGGATGACCCCCAGGTGTCCTGGCACTCCGTGCACGACCCAGAGGCCGGGCTGTCGGCACTCCTTGGCCCCCTCCAGGGCTGCCCTGTGACCCCACCGCAGGCCAGTGTCCCCCCACAGGCCATGTCAAGAGCATTGGCTGAAAACCCAAGTCCAGCTGCCCAGCACTCCAGCCCACCCCCCCATACCTCCCTGACACCCACCCCTCCCCAGGGTCCCCCCGTCCCCTCCCCAGGCCAACATCGCCCTGGGGGGCAGAGGTGACCCTTGGTCGGGGGGCTATTTCCCGGGCCCCTCTCAGAACTGGTCAGACGCTTGACCCCAGGACCCTCCCCAGACAGCCTGCGCCGGGGGCTGACCCAGGGTTGTCCATGGTTTCTTTTTTCCAGGGGGTCCTGGTCAGGGCTCCATGTGTGGGCGCTGCTGGGGGGCTGCCCCCTGCCCGGTTAAGCCAGACAGCTTCTCCCACCACCCTTATCCTCCTCCCCACAGGGGCTGGTCAGTGTTCAGTCTAAGGCTGTCCTCACTCAGACCTGTTGGTACTGAGCTCAGGGGGGCTACTGGCTCCCCAAAGAGTGGTACCCCCACCCTAGATGAATTCTCCAGTGGGAAATAAGGCCTGGGGGCTGGGGCTGGACAGGGGCTTGTGGCTGGACGGGGACGTGGGGCTGGACGGGGACATGGGGCTGGACAGATGGGGACCTGGGGCTGGACGGGGACTTGGGGCTGGACGGACAGGGACCTGGGGCTGGATGGATGGGGACCTGGGGCTGGACGGGGACTTGGGGCTGGACGGACAGGGACCTGGGGCTGGATGAGGACCTGGGGCTGGACAGATGGGGGCTGGGGCTGTGGGGACACAGGGCTGCAGGTGGGGGCAGTGGCTGTCCTGGAGGCCTTGAGTGGGGTGGGGGCTTCTGCCTCGGCCCCTGGTTGTGGACTCTGAGGTGACCCTTGACCAGGGGCCATTCCTTGGTTCAGCCCCAGCAGGAGGTGGTGGCAGAGGCTGGCCAGGACGCTCTGGTGGGGTCTGCGGGTGAGGTGAGGGCGGTGCAGGCCACGCCAGGGTGAGGCTGGGGGTCTGTGTCAGGAGCAGCTGCCCACTCGGAGCCTGAGTCGGCCTGGAAGGCAAGAAAGTTGGGGCAGGAGGCCAGCGCCCAGCAGGAGGGCCAGGGACGCCTCCCCCGGGGTGCTCAGGCTGGGTATCAAAGGATGCGGAGCGATTCCTGCCGGCCCCTGTCCAGACCTGGGCCTGCCCAGACCCTCCCTGCCCTCCAGCCCCACAGCCACGTGTACAGGAAGAAGACAGGGCTGCATCACTCGGTCAATGTACCCGCACTTTTTAGGAACCTCCTGTTTTCCAAAGCAGCTGCGCTGTGGCACATCCCCACTCCTGCACAGCCCGGAGGTCGGGCCTTTCGCCGAAGCCTGTCTCAGGGTGTGTGGGGTCCCAGGGGTTTCATTCGCATTCTCTGCCGTCCTGCGTCTTCCCTGTGTTTTCTTCAGTGATGGAGACGTTCAGATCTCTTGCCCATTTGTTGTTGGCACCAGAGCCTTTTAATCCTCGGCCACTGCTCTCGGCGGGGGCTCCTATGCCCAGCAGAAGCCCCTGTGTTTAACCGAGTATTCAGGCTCCGGAGACGAGCCCGGCCCACCGCCTGCTCGGGGGGGACACTGGACAGGGCACGCCAAGGGTCAGAGGGGGTGAGAGCCAGGCGCACTGCTGGCTGGGGGGCTGGGGTGCCTGTGTCCCCTGAGCCAGTGCCGGCCGCAGCCCTGGGGCAAGCGCCAGGGTCCCCACGGGCCACTGAAGCCGAAACTGGGACGCGGCCAGTCTCACCTTCCAGTGGTGTCACCTCACAAAAGCAGCGTTACCTGGACGCCCGAGGGCAGGGAAAG